GATGAAGTGCAGTGGTGCGATCTCAGCCCACTGCAACCTCCGCCTCCTGGGCTCAAGCGATTCTCCTGCCTCAGCCTCCCAAGTAGCTGGGATTACAGGCATGTGCCACCAAGACCTGCTAATTTTTGTCTTTTTAGTAGTGATGGGATTTCATCATGTTGGCCAGGCTGGTCTGGAACCCCTGACCTCAGGTGAACCACCCACCTTGGCTTCCCAAAATGCTAGGATTACAGACACCTGACCTGTGATGTGATTTTAAACAAAATTTGAAATTTTTTATTTTCCAATTGTTTGCTACTAAAAGATAAGAATATACTGGCCTGGCGCGGTGGCTCACGCCTGTAATCCCAGCACTTTGGGAAGCTGAGGTGGGCAGATCACGAGGTCAGGAGTTTGAAACCAGCCTGGCCAACACAGTGAAACCCCATCTCTACTAACAATACAAAAATTAGCCTGGCATAGTGGCAGGCACCTGTAATCCCAGCTACTCAGGAGGCTGAGGCAGGAGAATTGCTTGAACCCAGGAGGCAGAGGTTGCAGTGAACCAAGGTTGTGCCACTGTGTTCCAGCCTGGGCAATGGAGGGAGACTCCATCTCAAAAAAATAAAAGAACATGCTTTTTAGTAGTAACCTTGTATTTTACAGTCTAAATTCACTTATTAGTTCCTATGACTTTTTTTTTTTTTGAGACAGAGTGTCACTCTTGTCTTGTTGCCCAGGCTGGAGTGCCGTGGTGCAGTCTCAGCTCACTGCAATCTCTGCCTCCTGGGTTCTAGGGATTCTCCTGCCTCAGCCTCTGGAGTAGCTGGGATTATGGGCATGCACTACCGTGCCTGGCTAATTTTGTATTTTTAGTAGAGACGGGGTTTCTCCATGTTGGTCAGGCTGGTCTTGAACTCCCGACCTCAGGTGATCCACCTGCCTGGGCCTCCCAAAGTACTGAGGTTACAGGCGTGAGCCATTGCACCTGGCCTTCTTAGTCTTATGGCCTTTTTTTTTTTTTTTTTTTTTTTTTTTTTTTGAGACGGAGTTTCTCTCTTGTTTACCCAGGCTGGAATGCAATGGCGCGATCTCGGCTCACTGCAACCTCCACCTCCTGGGTTCAGGCAATTCTCCTGCCTCAGCCTCCTGAGTAGCTGGGATTACAGGCACACACCACCATGCCCAGCTAATTTTTTGTATTTTTAGTAGAGATGGGATTTCACCATGTTGACCAGGATGGTCTCAATCTCTTGACCTCGTGATCCACCCGCCTGGGCCTCTGAAAGTGCTGGGATTACAGGCGTGAGCCACCGTGCCCAGCCCTTCTTATGGCTTTTTAAAACTACTTACTAAATATTGAGAAAAGAACCAAACATAAAAAATACTTATTAAATATTTACTAACATTTATTTCAATAAAGTTTACTTTAAAAAGAAAAGCAGGCAGGCGGGGAGCAGTGGCTCATGCCTGTAATTCCAACACTTTGGGAGACCAAGGTGGGCAGATCACTTGAGGTCAGGAGTTTGAGACCAGCCTGGCCAACATGGTGAAAGCCCTGAATCTACTAAATTAGCTGGGCATGGTGGCCAGTGCCCATAGTCCCAGCTACTCAGGAAGCTGAGGCGGGAGAATCGCTTTAACTCTGGAGGCGGAGGTTGCATCGAGCCAAGATGGTGTCACTGCACTCCAGCCTGGACGACAGAGCAACTCTGTTTCAAGAAAACAAAACAGGCTGGGCGCGGTGGCTCACACCTATAATCCCAGCACTTTGGGAGGCCAAGGCAGGTGGATCACGAGGTCAAGAGATCGAGACCATCGTGGTCAACATGGTGAAACCCCGTCTCTACTAAAAATACAAAAATTAGCTGGGCATGGTGGCATGCACCTATAGTCCCAGCTACTCGGGAGACTGAGGCAGGAGAATTGCTTGAACCCAGAAGGCGGAGGTTGCAGTGAGCCGAGATAACGCCATTGCACTCCAGCCTGGGTAACAAGAGCAATACTCCGTCTCAAAACAAAAAAAAAGAGAGAGAGAGAAAGAAAACAAAACAAAAAGCAAGCTCACTCCTGTAGTCCCAATACTTTTAGGGGCCAAGGCATGTTGATGACTTGAGCCCAGCCTGGGCAATGTGCTTGTAGTCCCAGCTACTCAGGAGACTGAGGTGAGAGATTACCTGAGCCCAGGAGGCAGAGGTTGCAGTAAGCCAAGATCATACCATGGCACCGAGATTGCTACTGCACTCCAGCTGGGCAATAAGAGCAAAACTTTGTCGCAAAAGTAAATAAATAAATAAATAAGCCAGGTGTTGTGGCTCATGCCTATAATCCCAGTACTTTGTGGGGGCCAACGCGGGCGGATCATGAGGTCAGGAGATCAAGACCATCCTAGCTAACATGGTGAAACCCCGTCTCTACTAAAAATACAAAAAATTAGCCAGGCGTGGTGGCACATGCCTGTAGTCCCAGCTATTTGGGAGACTGAGGCAGAAGAATCACTTGAACCCGGGAGGCAGAGGTTGTAGTGAGCTGAGATGGCACCACTGCACTCCGCCTGGGTTACAGAGAGAGACTCCGTATCAATAAAGTAAATTAAAAAATAAATAGGCCGGGCGCAGTGGCTAACACCTATAATCCTAGCACTTTGGGAGGCCGAGGCGGGTGGATGACGAGGTCAAGAGATCGAGACCATCCTGGTCAACATGGTGAAAACTGTCTCTACTAAAAATACAAAAATTAGCTGGGCATGGTGGCGTGCACCTGTAGTCCCAGCTACTCGGGAGGCTGAGGCAGAAGAATTACTTGAACTCAGGAGGTGGAGGTTGCGGTGAGCCGAGATCGTGCCATTGCACTCCAGCCTGGGAAACAAGAGCGAAACTCCGACTCAAAAATAAATAAATAAAAATAAAAATAAATAAATAAAAAAACAAAAAGGCGTAGTGGCGCATGCCTGTAGTCGCAGTTACTGGGGAGGCTGAGGCAGGAGAATTGCTTGAGCCCATGAGTTTCAGGCTGCAGTGAGCCATGATCATGCTACTACACTCCAGCCTGGGTGACAGAGTGAGACCTTCTCTAAAAAAAAAAAAAAAAAAAAGATGTAATAAGCAATGGCACGATCTCAGCTCGCTGCAACCTCCGCCTTCCAGGTTCAAGTGTTTTTTTTTGCCTCAGCCTCCCGAGTAGCTGGGAATACAGGCATGTGCCACCACACCCAGCTAATTTTGTTTTTTCAGTTTTCTGGTTTTTTGGGTTTTTTTAGTAGAGACAGCGTTTCTCCATATTGGTCAGGCTGGACCCAACCTCAGGTGATCTGCCCACCTCAGCCTCCCAAAGTGCTGGGATTACAGGCATAAGTCACTGCACCCAGCCCTTTTTTTTTTTTTTTTGAGATAGAGTCTCACTCTTTTTGCCCAGGCTGGAGTTCAGTGGTGCAGTCTCACCTCATGCAACCTCTGCCTCCCGGGTGTAAGCAATTCTGGTGCCTCAGGCTCCCGAGTAGCTTGAATTACAGGTGCGTTCCACCATGCTTAGCTAGTTTTTGTATTTTTAGTAGAGATGGGGTTTCATCATGTTGGCCAGGCTGGTCTCGAACTCCTGACAGCAAGTGATCTGCCCGCCTCAGCCTCCCAAAGTGCTGGGATTACAGGCGTGAGCCACCGAGGCCGGCCCTTCTTTCATGTTTTAATTCGAGGCAGCTTTGCATGTACTGTTTTCAAAAATACACCTTGGAGGAACTACTATTTTTTTTTTTTTTTTTTTAGAGAGAGGGGGTTTCTAACAAGTTGAAAGTTCATCTTTCCTGGTGACAGTGTGACTGACAAATTACTTTTAATATGGAAATGAGAAAACATCTGGGGAAGGGGGCACCCAGATTTGAACCAGGGACCTCTTGATCTGCAGTCAAATGCTCTACCCCTGAGGTATACCCCCACCACCTGGTCTGTACCCCTTCCTTGTCCACTTATGGTGACTCAATACAATCAAGTTCCACCCACACCAAAGTCCTGGTAAGCTTTGTGTTCTAAAGCCCCACCTTCTTCATTATCTTTCATCTGTTTTGGCTTTTCCCTTGGCCACCAATAAACTGAAAGGGAACACTTGAAAAATGACATCCTGGGCAGGGCGCGGTGGCTCACGCCTGTAATCCAAGCACTTTGAGAGGCGGAGGTGATGTCAGGAGTTCAAGAGCAGCCTGACCAACATGGTGAACCCCCATCTCCACTAAAAATAAAAAAAATTAAAAAAAAGGCTGGGTGCAGTGCCTCACGCCATGACTGTAATCCCAACACTTCGGGAGGCTGAGGCGGGGGAATCACCTTAGGTCAGGAGTTCTGGACCAGTCTAGCCAACATGGTGAAACCCTGTGTCTACTAAAAATACAAAAATTAGCCTGGTGTGGTGGCGATCGCCTGTAATCCCAGCTACTCCCAGCTGAGACAGGAGAATCGCTTGAACCCAGGAGATGGAGGTTGCAGTTAGCCAAGATCATGCCACTGCAATTCAGCCTGGGCAGCAAAGAGTAAAACTGTCTCAAAAATAAAAAAGCTGGGCATGGTGGCAGGCATCTGTAATCCCAGCTACTAGGGAGGCCGAGGCAGGAGAATATATATGTGTGTGTGTGTGTGTGTGTGTGTGTGTGTGTGTGTATGTGCATACATTTTGTAAAGACAGAGTTTCGTCATGCTGCCCAGGCTGGTCTCAAGTGATCCACCTGCCTGAGCTCAAAGCAATCCTCTCTCCCTGCTCGGAGTAAACCAAGCTCTGTTCTTGAAGGAAACAATAGCCAGCTCTGCCCTGGGGCCCTGCTGGTAGGTGGGGAAGTGCTTTATTGAGGTTGAGTAATGTGGCTCCTTCTTATCCCACTGGCAGGGGAGAACTGAAGCCTCTCCTTTCAAACATGGCACTCGGCACTCGTTGGTATGAGTGCAAAGCGCAGGCCTGAGAAGCCCTTTCTCTTCTCACCTCCTCTCCACGGGGAAGAGAAGCTGAAGGTAGAGCTGGCTCCTTTCTCCAATCTCAGGGAAGAAACAGCACCCTTGGAGACACAAATAAATATTTTTAATGGAAATTAACTTTGAGAGTTCATCTAAACATCTGTCTTAGAAATTCACGTCCAGGGCTATGAAGGGAAGATATGCTGTTAGAACAGAGGAAACGTGGTGACTTCTCCAAAGACGGAAGTGCTCCAACGGAGGGCCGGGGTGTTCCGGCGGTAGCCAAACCTTCCATTGAACCCACTGAGTGGTTTAAGATCGGCATTGTAGTGGTCATGCCCAGTCACCTGCTGGAGAGAATGCCCTTGGGGGCGAGGAGAGAGAGGCCTGAGCCTGCATTCAGCCCACCTCTTGGCCTCCCCATTCCCCTGGGTATGGTAGGGGAGGCCAACCAGGTGTAGTCACTGCATTCCCCATGCCCACAGCCCAGTATGCAATCCTGAAATGTCCCGAGGCTCTGGGCTGAAAAACTAAGGACTGGTGAGGCTGGGGAACAGAAGGCTTCCTAGAAATAAAAACTTGCACCAGGAATAATTGCAGGAAGACTGTGAATGGTTTGTGCTGGGACAGGAGAGGCCAGAAATTCTGGGCTTGGCAGAGCTTGCCTTTCTCCCACGAGAAATGAGGAAAATCTCACCCTTGCCTCTGACCGATGTGGAAAAAGTGGATGAGATTAAGATCAGTTGGGCCAAACGTACAAAGGATCATGTGACTAGAGGAGGGGCCCAGGATGGTGGAGGAATTGGACTAGGAGGAGGGTTTACCCTGTTAGAAAAATACCACTCGAGTTGGCCGGGCGCAATGGCTCACATCTATAATCCCAGCACTTTGGGAGGCCAAGGTGGGTGGATCACAAGGTCAAGAGATCCAGACCATCCTGGTCAACAAGGTGAAACCTCGTCTCTACTAAAAATACAAAAATTAGCTGGGCATGGTGGTGCACACCTGTAGTCCCAGCTACTCAGGAGGCTGAGGCAGGAGAATTGCTTGAACCAAGGAGGCGGAGGTTGTGGTGAGCCGAGATCGTGCCATTGCACTCCAGTCTGGGTAACAAGAGCGAAACTCCATCTCAAAAAAAAGAAAAGGAAAGAAAAATATCACTCGCTGTGCGTGATGGCTCACACCTGTAATCCCAGCACTTTGGGAGGTGGAGGCAGGTGGATCACGAGGTCAGGAGTTCAAGACCAGCCTAGCCAATATCACAAAACCCTGTCTCTATTAAAAAATACAAAAAATTAGCGGGGCACGGTGGTGCATGCCTGTAATTCCAGCTACCGGGGAAGTTGAGGCAGGAGAATTGCTTGAACCTGGGAGGCAGAGGCAGGAGAATTGCTTGAACCTGGGAGGCAGAGGGAGGCTGAGGCATGAAAATTGCTTCAACCTGGGAGGCAGAGGTTGCAGTGAGCCGAGATCACACCGCTGCACTCCAGCATGGGTGACAGAGTGAGACTCCATATCAAAAAAAAAAAAAGAAAAATCTGTCTCAACTCTTTCTCATTGTTGCTAACCTGGGCTTGGAAATTGAGCAAGATGCAGCAGGGAGGGGAACAGGGGCTGCGGAAGAGCGGCCCCTGTTGGAGTTGGGAAGAGCGGAATCTTAAACCCCCAGCTCAGCGCTTCTTGCCAAATCACTTTAACTCAAGAAACTTGTTTCCCCAACTGTGCCATAGGGTTAGTGAGGGTGAAAAGTGCCTAACAAATGGCTCACGTCTATAATGCCAGCACTTTGGAAGGCTGAGGTCACAGGATCACTTGAGCCTAGGAGTTCAAGACCAGCCTGGGCAACATAGGGAGACTATCTCTACAAAAAATAAAAACTTAACTGAGTATGGGGGTGCACACCTGTGGGCCCAGCTGCTCAGGAGGCTGAGGTGGGAGGATTGATGAAGCCCAGGAAGTCAAGACTACAGTGAGTGGTAATTGTGCTACTGCAATTCATGCAATCCAGCTTGGACAACAGAGTGAGACCATGTCTCAAAAAAAAAAAAAAAGTGGGGCCTGACATACAGTAGGTGCTTATTAACTAATATTAGGGCGCACTGTGGCACCATCTGCTCATGTATGTGAAGGAAAGCTGGAAGGATGCGGTCCCTTGGCCTCTTCCCCTCAGCCAGGCTTCGCTATGGCCCAGGAACCATGATGAGGCTGGAAATGGAGGCAGCACTTGCCTGACCCTGCCCAGTTTCTCCTGTTGAGGTATCTCTGTCCTTGCCCGAAGATGTGGATGTAATCTACTATCCAGCCATCCCTTCCTGTACCGCCATGATCCTAAAATTGGGGAAGAGAATACAGAAGACTGTGAGCCACAATGCTGAGGTGGCCACAGTGCATACTGCCTTGGGGTTTGCTGGGGGGAGAGGGAAGAGTTCAGAGCCTTGGGTACCTGAGATGGACCGATTAAATATATTTAAGAACCAGGCCCGGCACGGTGGCTCAGGCCCGTAATCCCAGCACTTTGGGAGGCTGAGGCAGGCGGATCACCTGAGGTCGGGAATTCGAGACCAGCCTGACCAACATGGAGAAACCCCAAAATACAAAATTAGCTGGGCATGGTGGTGCGTGTCTGTAATCCCAGCTAGTCCGGAGGCTGAAGCAGAATTGCTTGAACCTGGGAGGTGGAGGTTGCTGTGAGCCAAGATTGTGCCATTGCATTCCAGCCTGGGCAACAAGAGTGAAACTTCCAGGCCGGGCCTGGTGGTTCACACCTGTAATCCAAGCACTTTGGAGGCCAAGGCAGGTGGATCACCTGAGGTCAGCAGTTCAAGACCAGCCTGACCAACATGGTGAAAGTGAAACCTCGTCTTTATTAAAAAAAAAAAACAAAAAAACGTGTAACTTCCTCTCAAAATAAAAAAGGAACCTATTGGCTCTCAGGGAGGGGCAGTCGAGTTTGGCAGCTAAAGGCTCGGTCTCTGCTGCAGAGAGGCTGGGTTCTAACTCCAGCTCAATCATTAACAGGCTTTGTGACCTTAAGCCAATTACACAGCTTTTCTGGGCCTCAGTTTCCTCATCAGTAAAAGGAGTCTGGTTGTGAGGTGTTTTTTTGTTTTTTGTGGGTTTTTTTTGAGATGGAGTTTCGCCCTTGTTACCCAGGCTGGAGTGCAATGGCACGATCTCGGCTCACCACAACCGCCGCCTTCTGGGTTCAGGCAATTCTCCTGCCTCAGCCTCCTGAGTAGCTGGGATTATAGGCACGCACCACCATGCCAAGCTAATTTTTTGTATTTTTAGTAGAGATGAGGTTTCACCATGTTGACCAGGATGGTCTCAATCTTTTGACCTCGTGATCCACCTGCCTTGGCCTCCCAAAGTGCTGGGATTACAGGTGTGAGCCACGGTGCCCGGCCTGAGGTTTGGTTTTTGAGACAGGGTCTCATTCTATTGCCCAGGCTAGAGTGCAATGTTGCCATCTCGGCTCACTGCAACCTGCGCCTCCTGGATTCAAGCAATTCTCCTTCCTCAGCCTCCTGAGTAGCTATGATTACAGGCGCCCGCCACCACGCCTGGCTAATTTTTGTATTTTTAGTAGAGATGCGGTTTCACATATTAGCCAGGCTGGTCTCAAACTCTTGACCTCAGGTGATCCATCAGCCTCGGCCTCCCAAAGTGCTGGGATTACAGGCGGGAGCCACCATGTGCCTGGCCTGCTATGAGACTTTAGTGACTTTGCTCAGATAAAGGACCTGGCATAGTGAAGTTTAATAAATATCATCTTGGCTGGGCACAGTGGCTCATGCCTGTAAACCCAGCACTTTGGGAGGCTGAGGCAGGTGGATCACCTGAGGTTAGGAGTTTGAGACCAGCTTGACTAACATAGTAAAACCTCATCTCTACTAGAAATACAAACATTAGCCAGGTATAGTGGTGAGCACCTGTAATTCCAGCTACTCACGAGGCTGAGGCAGGAGAATCGCTTGAATACAGGAGGCAGAGGTTGCAGTGAGCTGAGATGGCACCACTGCACTCCAGCCTGGGTGACAGAGCAAGACTCCATCTCAAAAAAAATAATAATAATAAAATAAAATAAGTAAATAAACATCATCTTTATTTAAATGAACACAATACCTACCACGAATGGTGGTTTTGACGATTAAAGAATGCTTTGAAAAATTAAACAGGTTGGCTGGGCTTGGTGGCTCACACCTGTAATTCCAGCACTTTGGGAGGCTGAGGCAGAAGGATCACCTGAGGTCAGGAGTTCAAGATCAGCCTGGCCAACATGGCAAAACCCTGTCTCTACTAAAAATACAAAACTCAGCCAGGTTTAATGGTGTGTGTGCCTGTAATCCCAGCTACTAGCGAGGCTGGGGCAGGAGAATCACTTGAACCCGGGAGATGGAGTTTGCAGTGAGCCAAGATCACACCACTGCACTCCACTCCAGCTTGGGAGATAGAGACTCCCTCTCAAAAAAAAAAAAAAAAAACAGGCTGGGCATGGTGGCTCACGCTTATAATTCCAGCACTTTAGGAGGCTGAGGCAAGAGGATTGCTTGAACCTAGGAGTTTGAGATCAGCCTAGATAACATTTTAGCAAAGATGGGGTTTCACGTATTAGCCAGACTGGTCTCAAACTCTTGACCTCCGGTGATCCACCAGCCCGACCTGTCCCTACAAAAAATTTAAAAATTAGCCGCCAGGCATGGTGGCACATGCCTGTAGTCCCAGCTACTCAGGAGGCTGACACTGGAGGACCCTTGAGCCCAGCAGTTCAAGGCTGCAGTGAGCTGTGATCATGTCACTGCACTTCCAGCCTGGGTGACAGATTGGGACTCTGCCTCAAAAAAGATAATTAAAAAGTTTTTTCAAGCTGGGCACGGTGGCTCACGCCTGTAATCCCAGCATTTTGGGAGGCTGAGGTGAGCGGATCACCTGAGGTCAGGAGTTCGAGACCAGCCTGACCAATATGGTGAAACCCCATCTTAAAAAATAATAGCAATAATAATAAATAGACCGGGCACGGTGGCTCACACCTATAATCCCAGCACTTTGGGAGGCCGAGGCGGGTGAATCACGAGGTCAAGAGATCAAGACCATCCTGGTCAACACGGTGATACCCCATCTCTACTAAAAATACAAAAATTAGCTGAGCATGGTGGTGTGCGCCTGTAGTCCCAGCTACTCGGGAGGCTGAGGCAGGAGAATTGCCTGAACCCAGGAGGCAGAGTTTATGGTGAGCCGAGAGCGCACCATTGCACTCCAGCCTGGGTAACAAGAGTGAAACTCCATCTCAAAAAATAATAATAATAATAATAATTAAAAAAAAATAAATTTTTTTCTAAAGTGTACACCATATTATTTTCAAGCTTTTAAATACTCAGGTTTTTCCTTTTTCCTCCCCAGACTATGGTTCCTTCTGTTGTAAAATTACATGAGTATATGCCAGGTGTGGTGGCTCATGCCTATAGTCTCAGCACTTTGAGAGGCTGAGATGGGCAGGATCACTTGAACTCAGGAGTTCAAGCAGCCTGGGCAACATGGTGAAACCCTGTCTCCGCATCGAGAGGCTGAAGTGGGAGGATCACTTGAATACGGAAGGCGCAGTTTGCAGTAAGCCAAAATAGTGCCACTGCACTCCAGCCAGGGCAACAGAAAAAGACCCTGTCTCAAAACAAACAAAATCGCCTGGTGTGGGGGCTCACGCCTATAATCCCAGCACTTTGGGAGGCCAAGGTGGGCAGGCGGATCACCTGAGGCCAGGAGTTCGAGACCAGCCTGACCAACATGGAGAAACCCCATCTCTACTAAAAATACAAAAAATTATCCAGGCATGGTGGCGCATGCCTGTAACCCCAGCTACTTGGGAGGCTGAGGCAGGAGAATGGCTTGAACCTGGGAGGCAGAGGTTGCAATGAGCCGAGATGGCGCCACTTGCACTCCAGCCTGGGTGACTGAGTGACATTCTGTCTCAAATAAATAAGAAAGAAGGTAAACTGAGGAGATGAAAGTGGCAGAGCCTTCTTTGTGGTGAGGACGTTGGTGTGGGGACTTAGGGAGGTGTGTGGGGTCTTCTGGGAAGCTCCTATACCTGACCAGTTTTCCGCAAAATGGGCGGAACCACATGGCTCTGGAAGTAGCTGCGGGCGTGGTAGTCCTGCTGCGCGTTGTAGGGAGGAATCGCGGACCACAACTTGGGCCTAGAGCGCCCATAAGCGCGGGCAAGGGTGCTCACAGCCACCCCGTCCAAGATAAAGCCTTTCTCCAGTCGCAGGCGACGCTCACACAGGTACGCCATCCCAACCACTGCAGCCTTGGAGGGCCTTTCTGGCGGGGGATGAGAACCCTAGGTGGGGACCCCCCTGCGCATTGTGATGACAAAGACCCCTACGACACAAACCCTATTGTCTCCGCTCACCACGGTTGACCGGTGGGCCTTTAAGGCAGCGGGGGAAGTTGCTTGGCCCCGAGAGGAGGTTGACCAGAGACTGACTATGCAAGAGGACTTGGAAAGTGAAGAGGAGGAGCTTGGATAACTGATTGTGGGCAGTTTGAGTGCAGTTAAGTCCTGCTCCCCCAGCTATCCTTTAAGGTGAGCATTCTCTTTTCCCACGGTATTAACGTGCTATTTCCCCAGCTCAGTTTTGTTGAAAAGCTTGTACCCGAAATTGATCAGAAAGTTCAGATCGTGGGGAGCGGTGGCTCACGCCTGTAGTCCCAGCACTTTGGGAGGCCAAGGCGGAAGGATTGCAAGGTCAGGAGACTGAGACCATCCTGGCCAATATGGTGAAACCCCGTCTCTACTAAAAATACAAAGAAATAGCTGGGCGTGGTGGTGCGTGCCTGTAGTCCCAGCTACCTGGGAAGCCGAGGCAGGAGAATCACTTGAACCTGGGAGGCGGAAGTTGCAGTGAGCCAAAAAACACGCCTTTGCACCCCAGTCTGGCGACAGAGGGAGACTGTCTCAAAAAAAAAAAAAAAAAAAAAGAAAGAAAGAAAGAAAAAGAAAAAAAAAGTTCAGATCGCACAATTCTCATTTTTCAGAGCTAGAAGTTGAAGCTTACAAAGGTTCCGTAGGCCGGGTGCGTTGGCTCAGGCCAATAACCCCACCATTTTGGGAGAACGAGGCGTTGAGGGTGGGGGAGGTCGCTTGAGCCCAGGAGTTTGAAGACCATCCTGGGCAATACGGCGGAACCTCGTCTCTACTAAATAAATGAATACTTAGCAGAGTACGGTGGTACGCACCTGTGGACCTAGCTGCACTACAGGCTGAGCCATGGAATTCAAGGCTGCAGTGAGAGAGACAGAGAGAGAGAGAGAGAGAGAGAGAGAGAGAGAGAGAGAGAGAGAGAGAGAGAGATTGATTCTCCAAATCCAGTTAGCTGACTTCTCATCAGTCCACTTAACAATTCTCCTGCCCCATCCCAATTATCATTATTTATTTATTATTTGAGAGGGAGTCTTGCTCTGTCACCCAGGCCAGAGTGCAGTGGCACAATCTTGGCTCACTGCAAACTCCACCTCCTGGGTTCAAGTGGTTCTCCTGCCTCAGCCTCCCAAGTAGCTGAGATTACAGGCACCCGCCACCATGCCTGGATAATTTTTGTATTTTAGTAGAGATGGGGTTTCACCTAATTGATCAAGCTGGTCTTGAACTACTGACCTCAAATGATCAGCCTGCCTCTGCCTCCCAAAGTGCTTGAGGTGGGCTATTTTTTATATATTGAAAAATAATTTTTGGCCAGGCGAGGTGGCTCATGCCTATAATCCCAGCACTTTGGGAGGCCGAGACAGGTGGATCACGAGGTCAAGAGATCGAGACCATCCTGGTCAACAAGGTGAAACCCCATCTCTACCAAAAATACAAAAATTGGCTGGGCATGGTGGTGCGTGCCTGTAGTCCCAGCTCCTCGGGAGGCTGAGGCAGGAGAATTGCTTGAACCCAGAAGGCGGAGGTTGCGGTGAGCCGAGATTGTGCCATTGCACTCCAGTCAGGGTAACAACAGCGAAACTCTGTCTCAAAATATATATATATAAAATATTTATTTATTTATTTTGAGATAGAGTCTCACTCTGTCATCCAGGCTGGAGTGCAGTAGTGTGATCTTGGCTCACTGTAACCTCTGCCTCTTGGGTTCAAGCAATTCTCCTGCTTCAGCCTTCCAAGTAGCTGAGATTACATGTGCATGTCACCATACCCAGCTAATTTTTTTTGTTTGTTTGTGTGTGTGTGACAGAGTCTCACTCTGTCTCCCAGGCTGGAGTGCAGTGGCAGGATATCAGCTCACTGCAAAATTCGCCTCCCAGGTTCAAGCGATTCTCCTGCCTCAGCCTCCTGAGTAGCTGGGATAACAGGCACGTGCCACCACACCTGGCTAATTTTTGTATTTTTAGTAAAGATGGGGTTTCACCATGTTGGCCAGGCTGGTCTCGAACTCCTGACCTCAGGTGATCCACCCTCCACAGCCTTCCAAAGTTGGCGTGAGCCACTGTGCCCAGCCGCCTGGCTAATTTTTTTTTTTTTGAGATGAGTCTCACTCTATTGCTCAGGCTGGAATGCAGTGTCACAATTTCAGCTCACTGCAACCTCCACCTCCCAGGTTCAAGTGATTCTCCTGCCTCACCCTCCTGAGTAGCTGGGATTACAGGCACATGCCACCACACCACACCCAGCTAATTTTTGTATTTTTAGTAGAGACAGGGTTTCGCCATGTTGGTCCGGCTGGTCTTGAACTCCTGACCTCAGGATCTGCCCACCTTGCCTTCCCAAAGTGCTGGGATTACATACGTGAGCCACCGAGCTCAGCCTATTTTTTGTATTTTTATTATTTTTTATTTTGTTTGAGATGGAGTTTTGCTCTGTTGCTCAGGCTGGAGTGCAGTGGTACAATTTTGGTTCACTGCAACCTCCGCCTCCTAGGTTTACAGGTGCATGCAGCCATACCTGGCTAATTTTTGTATTTTTTGTAGAGACAGGGTTTCACCAGACTGGTCTCTCAACTCCTGACCTCAGGTGATCTGGCCTGCCTCGGCCTCCCAAAGTGCTGGGATTACAGGTGTGAGTAATTTTTGTATTTTTAGAAGAGATGGGGTTTTGCCATGTTGGCCAGGCTGGTCTGAAAATCCTGACCTCTGGTGATCCTCCCACCTTGGCCCCCCAAAGAGCTGGGATTACAGGCGTGAGCCACCCTGCCCAGCCCCACCCCAATTATTTTCCTCTGCTATTATTTATGCTTCTTTTTTTCCCCCTTGAGACAGGGTTTCACTCTTGTTGCCCAAGATGGCATGCAGCGTTGTGATTTCAACTCACTGCAACCTCCACCTCCCAAGTTTAAATGATTCTCCTGCCTCAGTTGCCCGAGTAGCTGGGACTACAAGTGCCCACCACCACACCTGGCTAATTTTTGCGTTTTTTGTAGACAGAGTTTTGCTATGTTGGCCAGACTGGTCTCAAACTCCTGAGCTCAAGTGATCAGCCCAGCTTGGCCTCCCAAGCTGAGAGAATTACAGTCATGAGTCACCAGGTCTGGCCTCATCCTTCCTTTAAAATAACAAAACAGTGGGGAGACACATTACCCTATTTTTCCTCGAGCTAATTTTCTTTCTCCTTTAGTTTCCACATACAGCATTGAATTTAGCTAATTATATATCTTATTGTTTTATTAATATCTGACACAGAGTCTTGCTGTTGCACAGGCTGGAGTGCAGTGGAGCAATCTAGGCTAACTGCAGCCTCTTGGGTTCTCTTGCCTCAGGCTCCGCAGTAGGTGGGACTACAGGTACATACAACCACACCCAGATGATATTTTTTGTAGAGATGGAGGTTTTTTTTTTTTGAGATGGAGTTTCGCTGTTGTTACCCAGACTGGAGTGCAATGGCATGATTTCAGCTTATCGCAACCTCCGCCTTCTGGGTTCAAGCAATTCTCCTGCCTCAGCCTCCCAAGTAGCTGGGACTACAGGCGTGCACCACCATGCCCAGCTAATTTTTGTATTTTTTTTTTAGTAGAGACAGGGTTTCACCATGTTGACCAGGACGGTCTCGATCTCTTAACCTCGTGATCCACCCACCTCGGCCTCCCAAAGTGCTGGGATTATAGGCATGAGCCACCGCGCCTGGCCTGGTTTTGTTTATTATGACAGAGTCCCGCTCTTGTCACCCAGGCTGGAGTGTAATGGTGTGATTTTGGCTCACTGCAACCACCACCTCCTGGGTTCAAGCAATTCTTGTCTCAGCCACCTAAGTAGCTGGGATTACAGGCATCCACCACCATGCCCAGCTAATTTTTGTATTTTTAGTAGAGATGGGGTTTCACCATGGTGGCCAGACTGGTCACAAACTCCTCACCTCAGGTGATCAGCCCACCTTGGCCTCCCAAAGTGCTGGGATTACAGGCATGAACCACCACGCTTGGGCGACAAAGGAAATTATTTAGTGAAATGTAAACATCAAGCTTTTAATCCAAGTTAAAAAAAAAATTCTCCAAAGAATAAAATATGAGGTGCGATGCAGTGGCTCACACTTGTAATTGCAGCCCTTTGGAGGCCAAGCCAGGAGGATTCAAGGTTACAGTGAGGTGTGATGGTGTCACTGCACTCCAGCAAGTCTGTCTCAAAAGATAATTCAAAATATCAGTGATTAGGGATAATATATAAAGATATAAAATGTGGGCCTAGGGACTTGTCACACTAAAGCTGACTTGAAATTGACCAACTCAGAGACATTATGGTCTCTTTAAAATTAGATTTAAGCCTGGCGCAGTTGCTCCCACCTGTAATCCCAGCACTTTGGGAGGCCGAGGCGGGTGGATCACGAGGTCGAGAGATCGAGACCATCCTGGTCAACATGGTGAAACCCCGTCTCTACTAAAAATACAAAAAAAATTAGCGCCGGGTGTGGTGGCTCAAGCCTGTAATCCCAGAACTTTGGGAGGCCGAGACGGGTGGATCACGAGGTCAACAGATTGAGACCATTCTGGTCAACATGGTGAAACCCTGTCTCTGTTAAAAATACAAAAAATTAGCTGGGCACGGTGGCGCGTGTCTGTAATCCCAGCTACTCGGGAGGCTGAGGCAGGAGAATTGCCTGAACCCAGGAGGCAGAGGTTGCGGTGAGCCGAGATCACGCCATTGCACTCCAGCCTGGGTAACAAGAGCGAAACTCCATCTCAAAAAAAAAAAATTAGCAAGGCATGGTGGCGCGTGCCTGTAATCCCAGCTACTCGGGAGGCTGAGGCAGGAGAATTGCCTGAACCCAGGAGGCAGAGGTTGCGGTGAGCCGAGATCACGCCATTGCACTCCAGCCTGGGTAACAAGAGCGAAACTCCGTCTCAAAAAAATTAAAAATAAATAAAATTAGAGATTTAATACTTTTAAAACCAAGAGTAGTTTAGTCTAGACAGGGCACTGGTTCTCAATCTTGAGTGTACCTTGAAATCTGCTGGGAGCTTTACAGCTCTGATGTCTGAGTCCTGTTCTGTACTCTAACTTAATTGGTTTGGGGTATGGACCAGAAACATTTTCAAAAGCTCCAGGTTAGAACAGCTCCTCTCTTGAGTCTGGTACATTCCGTACCTAATCATGGAAGACATTAAGGGTAGTCCTTTTTGATACCAAGTAGAGCTTGTATTTTTTTTATTTTTTTAAGATGGGGTTTCGGGCTGGGCTCACGCCTATAATCCCAGTACTTTGGGAGGCCGAGGCAGGTGGATCACGAGGTCAAGAGATCGAGACCATTACGGTCAACAAGGTGAAACCCTGTCTCTACTAAAAATACAAAAATTAGCTGGGCATGGTGGTGTGTGCCTGTAGTCCCAGCTACTCGGGAGACTGAGGCAGGAGAATTGTTTGAACCCAGGAGGCAGAGGTTGTGGTGAGCCGAGATCGTGCCATTGCACTCCAGTCTGGGTAACAACAGTGAAACTCCGTCTCAAAAAAAAAAAAAAAAAAGACGGGGTTTCACCATGTTGGTCAGGCTGGTCTTGAACTCCTGACCTCAGGTGATCTGCCTGCCTTGGCCTCCAAAGTGCTTGGATTACAGGCGTGAGCCACCATGCCTGGCTGGAGCTTGTATTATACCCAGCTTACAGGTAGAGCCATTTATGGCTGAGAATTGCAGATACAGATACATAAACACAAACCTTAGTCTAAAAACCCTAGTCTACTTTCCTGCAGATTATTGTTCTAAACTAATACTCATTTTTCCCAGATGCTGGGTATGTCATCTAAATCAACCTTTTTTTTGAGACAGAGTTTCACCAGTTGCCCAGGCTTTAGTTTAGTGCAGTGGCACGATTTCGGCTCACTGCAACCTCTACCTCCTGGGTTCAAGTGATTCTACTGCCTCAGCCTCCTGAGTAGCTGGGACTACAGGTGTGTCACACCACGCCCAGCTAATCTTGTATTTTCAGTAGAGACTGCGTTTCTCCATGTTGGTCAGGCTGGTCTCAAACTCCCGACCTCAGGTGATCCACCCACCTTGGCCTCCCAAAGCGCTGGGATTACAGGCATGAGCCACCACAACTGGCCTCAAATCAATTCTTAGAGTTTAGAAAGAAATGCTAACAACCAGCCAGGAGCAGTGGCTCATGCCTGTAATCCCAGCACTTTGGGAAGCCGAGGTGGGTGGATCACGAGGTCAGGAGTTTGAGACCAGCCTGGCCAACACGGTGAAACCCAGTCTCCAAAAATAAATAAAAATACAAAACATTAGCTGGGCATGGTGGCATGCACCCATAGTCCCAGCTACTCAGGAGGCTAAGACAGGAAAATCACTGAATTGCTTGAAACCAGGAAGCGGAGGTTGCAGTGAGCCGAGATCACATCACTGCACTCCAGCCTGGGCCACAGAGTAAGACTCCGTCTGAAAAAAAAAAAAAAAAAAAAAAAGCAAACTCCCTTATTAACAGGGCTTTATGCCTGTTGTGTTGGCAAAATTTTATCACATCCTTCTAGAGCTTGGAACATAAATTACACCATCATCCTGTCAAAATATTTTCATAGCAAAATACCTATAGGTACCATTAACTTAATTGTCTTCCACTGTGACAGTAAACCTACATGGCAATTACTGTTTTAAAAATACTCAGTTTACTCAAAACCTATAACTACTAACATGTGCATATACAAACAGGCTCCACTCACGTCAGTCCTCAAAAGCCAGGTCTGTGTCCAGGATCCAACTAAACTCTTTCTTTTTTTTTTTTTGAGACGGAGTTTCGCTCATTACCCAGGCTGGAGTGCTATGGCACGATCTCGGCTCACGGCAACCTCTGCCTCCTGGGTTCAAGCAATTCTCCTCCCTCAGCCTCCTGAATAGCTGGGATTACAGGTGCGCGCCATGATGCCCAGCTAATTTTTTGTATTTAGTAGAGACAGGGTTTCACCTTGTTGACCAGGATGGTCTAGATCTCTTGACCTCGTGATCCACCCACCTCGGCCTCCCAAAGTGCTGGGATTACAGGTGTTAGCCACCACACCCAGCCTTACATTTTTTTTCTTCAAGACAGGGTTTCACCATGTTCGTCAGGCTGGTCTTGAACTCCCAACCTCAGGTGATCCGCCCGTCTTGGCCTCAAAAGTGCTTGGATTACAGGGGTGAGCCACTACACCTGGCCACTTCAATGCCTTTCTCACTGTAGGAGAGGCTACCTTGGATAACTTGTCAAGTAATATCTACTATCTGTTATTTATTTTTGGGACTCAAAACCCAAATAATCCTTTTTGAAGTGAAAATTATAAATACATCAAGTGGAAAATGCGAAGTCTGCACTCACAAAACAGGACTGCCTTTTTTTTTTTTTATCCTGTAAAACATGCCCAGAGAAAGTTTCCATTTCACCAAAGCAATGGTCAGGGGTCAGGGGATGTCAAAACAGTGTAGAGGCCAGGGTGGGCAGATCACTTGAGTCCAGGAATTTGAGACCAGCCTGCCCAACATGGTAAAACCCTGTCTATACTAAAAATACAAAAATCAGCCAGGCATGATGGCAGGTGCCTGTAACTCCAGCTACCTGAGAGGCTGACGCAGGAGAATCACTTAAACCTTGGAGGTGGAGGTTGCAGCGAGCAAGATCTCACCACTGTACTCCAGCCTGGGTGACAGAGCGAGACTGTCTTAAAAACTTAAAAAAAAAAAAAAAAAAAAGAGAGAGAGAGAGAAATGTAGAAGTGGACAGGGAGGCAAGCACTGTGAACAAATACTTTTTAATGGTTTTAAAGTTTTTATTTTTTTACAAATATACTGGAGAATCATGCAATGCTGCCAGCATTGGATGCAATCCGGGGCCACAGGTCTGCACACTCCTTTGCTACTGGTCCTGTAATGGCAGAACCTGCATTAAAAAAAAGCATGTGGGGACAGGTTAAGGCATCAAACGCAGGGTCCTTGGCCTGTACTTCTAGACAATCCACCCAACCTCAGAGACCTAAGGAACAAGCTGGACTGATTTCCTACCTTTCATCTCGCCTTTATTGTTCACTATGACCCCTGCATTATCTTCAAAATAAAGAAACACGCCATCTTTTCTCCGGTATGACTTTCGTTGTCGAATGACCACTGCTGGATGTACTGAGAGAATAAAAAAGGAAAGCAGTCATTAACCCATCAAGTCCCAGCACCACCACAAAAGCACTTTCCAACTAGACAGATTGTATACTTAGCATTTCACTGAGGCAGTGAAAGACAGTGTAAATATCAATCTTTAAGGTGATCCTCCCACTTCAACCTCTCTAGTAGCTGGGACTACAGGTGCGTACCACCATGCCCAGATAATTTGTTTTTCTGTTTCTGGCTTTTTCCCATAGAGACAGGCTTTCACCATGCTGGCCAGACAGGCCTCCCGAAGTGCTGAGAGTATAAGCATGAGCCACCACAGCCAGTCCCTATTCATGTATTAAAAATCAAAGCTGCCAGTATTTTCTTGCAAGTGTGAAACTCTTAGAAGACAATTATCCTTGCCTATGCCTTTTCCAACTTCACCCCACAGATGGGTTATTAAGATCTGAGGATCGCTGGGCATGGTGGCTCAAACCTGTAATCCCAGCACTTTGGGAGGCCGAGATGGGTGGATCATGAGGTCAAGAGATCGAGACCATCCTGGTCAACATGGTGAAACCCCGTCTCTACTGAAAATACAAATTAGCTGGGCATGGTGGCACCTGCCTGTAATCCCAGCTACTCGGGAGGCTGAGGCAGGAGAATTGCCTTCACCAAGAGGCGGAGATTGCGGTGAGCTGAGATCGCGCCATTGCACTCCAGCCTGGGTAACAAGAGCGAAACTCCGTCTCAAAAAAAAAGATCCCAGGATCACTGAATTGGGATGTAGAAATGGGACCTGGGACCCCCAACCCCTCCCAGTCCTTGTAATGAGCAGAGAGGCCAACCTATTCACACAGAAATCTGGAAAACGGTTTTAACACTAGAAAACAGTTTGAATTTCCAGGCCCAAGCACCAGGCTTTATGTTTTACTTTTTTTTTTTTTTGATGAGTCCTGCCTAAGCAAGACATCAAAAAATTCAGTTAAAAATTCCTAATTGGGCCGGGCTCGGTGGCTCACGCCTGTAATCCCAGCACTTTGGGAGGCCAAGGTGGGTGGATCACCTGAGGTCAGGAGTTCGAGACCAGCCTGGTCAACATGGCGAACCCCACCTCTAAAAATAAAATAAAATAAAATAAAAATAAACAAACTCATAATTGTTCCTCTCCACGGAAATCTTTAGTAAAAGGCGAAAGATTTATTCGTTATGAATAGAAACCAGAGGCCGGGTGCGGTGGCTCAAGCCTGTAATCCCAGCACTTTGGGAGGCTGAGGCAGGTGGATCACGAGGTCAAGAGATCGAGACCATCCTGGTCAACATGGTGAAACATCGTCTCTACTAAAAATACAAAAATTAGCGGGGCATGGTGGTGCATGCCTGTAATCCCAGCTACTCGGGAGGCTGAGGCAGGAGAATTACTTGAACCCAGGAGGCGGAGGTTGCGATGAGCCGAGATCACGCCATTGCACTCCAGCCTAGGTAACAAAAGCAAAACTCCGTCTCAAAAAAAAAAAAAAAAAAAAAAAAAGAGAAAGAAACCAGAGCATTATGTTTTACTTTTAATGAACTGTTTTCCAATGCTGTAAGTAACTTTTACACCTATCTGTACTAAGATGAAAAAGGTGCTTTTCTCAACTTTTGAAATGAAGTATCACTACATAATGAAATATAATGCTTGTGAAAAACTGTATCTGCATTCAAATTTTGACTGATATACTAGCTTGGAGACCTTGAGCAAGTTACTTACACGGAATTTTTATAAAGACAGGAAGAATGACCTTCCTTGAAGCAAGTACTATACAAAAAATAGATTAAGTCTGGCCAGGCATAGTGGCTCACGCCTGCAATCCAACACTTGGGAGGCTGAGGTGAGCAGATCACAAGGTTAGGAGACCAACCTGGCCAACATAGTGAAACCCCATCTCTACTAAAATTACAAAAATTAGCCAGGAGTGGTGGCTGAGCACCTATAATCCCAGCTACTTAGGAGGCTGAGGCAGTAGAATCACTTGAACATAGGAGATGGAGGTTGCAGTGAGCTGAGATCATGCCATTGCAATCCAGCCTGGGCAACGCAGCAAGACTGTCTCAAAATAAAATAAAATTTAAAAAAGTAAGTCTAACCAAGTTAGTAACGGGACACACATGAGGTAGCCAATATTTACTGACCCTCCTCTACTTATAAACCATTTAATCCTCAAAAATTCATCAAGAAGATAAATAGTCCTGGCCCCTTTGCATATTTCTGTACTTGTTACTTATAGATATTAAGTTCCAAGGGGAGGGGATGTATTTATTTAGCAGAAACAAGGACCAAAAAAGACATTAACCAGAACTGGAAACTCACAACTAGTTTTAAAACAGAAGTTGGGCATAGTGGCTCACGTCTGTAATACCAGCACTTTGAGAGAGTGAGGTGGGCGAATCACATGGTCAGGAGAGTTCGAGACCAGGCTGGCCAGCATAGTGAAACCCCATCTCTACTAAGAAAAATAGAAACAATTAGCGTGTGATGGTGTGTGCCTGTAATCCCAGCTTCTCAGGAGGCTGAGGCAGGAGAATCAGGTGACCCCAAGAGGCAGAGGTTGCAGTTAGCTGAGATCGCACCATTGCACTCCAGCCTTGGCGAAACTCTGTCTCGAAACAAAAAAAAAACCACTTAAGTGTTCGGAGCTCTGGTCTGTTCCACCACTGACTAAAACCAACAATCCACTCTCCTGCCATCTCATCCACAAAGTGATGGCCATTTGCTCTACTCTTCTCTGATAGCTTCCTGGGCCACCAGTCAGACCCAGGAAGTATTCTGAGAAGAGAAAAAAGCACAACTGCTAAATCACAATTACAGTGCTACCAAGCCCTCAAATGGATATTAATGGTGAACAGAAAAAGATTTCTTTTCTCTCCCCCGCCACTTTTTTTTTGAGAGGATGTCTCACTCTGTTGCCCAGGCTGGAGTGCTGTGGCACGGTCTCAGCTCACTGCAACCTCTGCTCCTGGGTTCAAGTGATAATCCTGGCTTAGCCTCCTAACTGGGTAGGAGGCGCCTTCTACCATGCCCAGGTAATTTTTTGTATTTTTAGTAGAGACAAGGTTTCACCATGTTGGCCAGGCTGGTCTCGAACTCCTGACCTCATGGATCCACTTGCCTTGGCCTCCCAAAGCACTGGGATTACAGATGAGAGCCACTGTGCCTGGCTACAAAAAAAAAATTTCTTATTTATTTATTTATTTTTGAGATGGAATTTCGCTGTTGTTACCCAGACTGGAGTGCAATGGCACGATTTCAGCTCACCGCAACCTCCGCCTCCTGGGTTCAAGCAATTCTCCTGCCTCGGCCTCCTGAGTAGCTGGGACTACAAGCGCACACCACCATGCCCAGCTAATTTTTGTATTTTTAGTAGAGATGGGGTTTCACCATGTTGACCAGGATGGTCTCGATCTCTTGACCTCGTGATCCACCCACCTCAGTCTCCCAAAGTGCTGGGATTATAGGCGTGAGCCACCGCGACCTGCCACAAAAAAAAGATTTCTAACCCAAGGGCTAAAAAAATCTACTGGAGAGCATCGTGGGGCGGAGTAAGTGTATTACAAGGCTGACAAGTCAACATCTTATTTGTAAATCAAGGAATGGCTAGGAAATCTTTAGAAAAGCAAGACATCCCAGCAAAGAGACGGACTAACTAGGCACAGGGTTTAAAAAAAGTTCAAGAGCTGAAATTAAAGCACATCAAATACCAGCAGTTCTAGAGCCAGACAGGACACAAGCTGCAAATATGGAAGTGACAAAATGATGGTCCTCCCAACACAGTCTGAGCAAAAACTTATTTATTCTCACACTGCCTCTCCACGGAAAACAAACTTGGAAACTAACCCCTTTTCCAATAAAGGAAGAAGTCCCCCCACTACCCATCTGTATTAAGGAGGGCTCAATGTTTACTCACCCTTTTTTCTGAGCTCTGGTTTGCCTTTCTTGACTGTGGCCATCACCATGTCACCGACACCAGCAGCGGGAAGTCTGTTCAGCCGTCCCTTGATCCCCTTCACAGAGATGATATACAGGTTTTTGGCTCCTACAAAAGGATGCAAACAAAAATCACAAAATGTTGAGGGCCGATCAGGCCGTTGCGTCAGTATAACATTTCCCAAACACTCACTGCCGAAGCAGTTAGTCCCCAAGAGCGCCTTGTCACACCACTGATTGAAGCAAAACAACACATCATGCTGTCACTTCACCCAAAAGCGGTGTTTCCATTCTCCCCTTTCTTGACGGCTCAGTAGGTCATTAGCCACAGGCCCACTGAGTGCTTTTAAAAAGGGGGAGTATAGCAGCGTGCAGTCAAAGACCTCACCTGTGTTGTCAGCACAGTTGATCACAGCTCCTACCGGAAGACCCAAGGAAATCCGGAATTTCGCACCAGAGGACCCACCACGTCCTGTGGATATACAGGGAAGGGAAACAGGATAAAGAGACCACTATCTAGACATGGGTCCGAGTTCCTCCTCATACACTCCGCACATGCTTTGATAGACTGTACTACAGATTAGCCCTCTCGAATTTTACTTATGCCGTCCCCGTGTGCCACCCTATTCTCACGGGAGGTAGCCATTTCTCACTATTACCACTCTGACATCGAAATTAAGGAACTGGAAGACTCAGCCCTTGCTCCAACTTTCGCAAAAACTCAATTACCTCTGCAAGGCAGAAGACCGCAGAGATCTCGAAAACCAGGGTCTAACCCAGTCTAACTTCAACCCCATTACGCCCTATTCGCGGAGCGAACTCGCTGGATCCAGGCTACAGTCGAGATCCTGCCATCTCAACTCTTAAGCACCCCAGTGCCACTTTCGGGGGTCCTGGCGGTCCTCTCGCGGTAGCCTAGCTCTCCATCTCGGGCCTGAAGGAGAGCACAGCGCCCCAGCTGCCTAGAGCTACCGCTCCCGATGAACCCGCCAGGCACTGCACGACAGATGGTGGAGGATCCTCCAAAAGTAAAACCTCACCTCGCTTCGACATCTTGGACGCCGGAAAGAGAAAAAGGAAGTAGCTTCAAAGGATACTGGGATATGAACTTTGATGCCCCACCCACTCTCGTCACGTGACCGGAGCTTAACCCCTCTTTGGGCGCTGCCTTATTACGTAATAGGTTAACGACGTCGGTTTGATTCATCTCTGGAAGTGGGCGTTGAAGTAGAAGTGCAAGAGATTGGAAGTCTCTTCTCTACGAGCTTAAAAGTAGTTGTAGACGTGGAAACAGTGATTTGTTGTTATCTTGCTTACGTCCTCTTTTGAGCACTTAATACGTGCCAGGCACTTATCTGCACACTAGAGAATAGGAATTAAAACACAGTTTGTGCCGTGTGTGGGGTCCCCAAGGAACACTCTAAACGGCTCTTGAGTAGTGCTATACAGATCATTCCATCTATGTGTGCTTGGTACCATACCATTCTGTATTTTACATATACTGTATTGCTCTATTGCCCTCCCTCCCGTGTTTTGTTTTTGTTTTTGTTTTTTTTTCTTTCTCTTTTTGAGACGGAACCTCCCTCTGTCGCCCAGGCTGGAGTACAGTGGCGCGATCTTAGCGTACTGCAACCTCCTGTTACCTGGAAGCCACCTCCCCACTTCCAGTCTTCCTGCCTTTGCTTCAACTTGTCCCGCCTTTCCAGACCGAAACAATGTACTTCTTACATATATTGATTAATGTCTCATGTCTTTTTTATACCTAAAAGGTATAAAACCAAGCTGTGGCCCGATGATCTTGGGCACATATCATCAGAACTTCCTGAGACTGTGTCACAGGAGCAACCTCGACCTTGGAAAAATAAACTTTCTAAATTAATTGAGACCTGTCTCCGATTTTCTGGATTCACACAATTAAAAATAGAATGAGGCCGGATGTGATCGCTCATGCCTGTAATCTTAGCACTCTGGGAGGCCAAGGTGGGCAGATCACCTGAGGTCAGGAGTTCGAGACCAACGTGGCCAAAATGGCGAAACCCCGTCTCCACAGAAATACAAACATTAGCTGGGCATGGTGGCAGGTGCCTGTAATCCCAGTTACTCGGGAGGGTGAGGCAGGAGAATCATTTGAACCAAGGAGGTGGAGGTTGCAGTGAGCCAAGATCGCACCATTGCACTCCAGCCTGGAATATACAGTGAGTCTCTGTTTAAATAAATAAATAAGGCCAGCGCGGTGGCTCACGCCTATAATCCCAGCACTTTGGGAGGCTGAGGCGGGTGGATCACGAGGTCAAGAGATCAAGACCATCCTGGTCAACAAGGTGAAACCCCATCTCTACTTAAAATACAAAAATTAGCTGGGCATAGTGGTACACGCCTGTAGTCCCAGCTACTCGGGAGGCTGAGGCAGGAGAATTGCTTGAATCCAAGAGGCGGAGGTTGCGGTGAGCTGAGATCACACCATTGCACTCCAGCCTGGGTAACAAGAGCGAAACTCCGTCTCAAAATAAATAAATAAATTAATTAATTTAAAAAAATGGGGCCAGCCATGGTGGCTCACATCTGTAATTCCAGCACTTTGGGAGGCCAAGGTGGGTGTATTACTTGAAATCAGGAGTTGGAGATCAGCCTGTCCTAAATAGCGAAACTGTCTCCACTAAAAATACAAAAATTAGCCTGGTATGGTGGCTTATGCTTGTAATTCTAGCACTTTGTGAGGCCACGGCGGGCAGATCACCTAAGCTCAGGAGCTGAAGAGCACCCCAAGCAACATGGCAAAACCCTGTCTCTACTAAAAGTACAAAAAAATTAGCTGGGCGTGGTGCGTGTGCCTGTAATCCCAGCTACATGGGAGGCTGAGGCAGGAGAATTGCCTGAACCCAGCAGGCGGAGGTTACAGTGAGCTGAGATCACGCCATTGCACTCCAGCCTGGGTAACAAGAGCAAAAACTCTGTCTCAAAAAAAAAAAGATAGAGAGAGAAGAAAGGAGTTGGAGGATTCAATGGAGGAGGAACACTTGAATCCGTGAGTTCGAAGCTTCAGAGAGCTAGGATCACACTTTTTTTAATTTTTAATTTTTAGATAGTGTCTCACTCTGTTGCCCAGACCACGGACTGGCTGACTGCAGCCTCAATCTCTCCAGCTCAAGTGACCCTCCCATCTCAGCCTCCCAAAGTGCTGGGATTACAGGCATGAGCCACTGTGCCTAGTCTGATCACACCTGTGAATAGCCACTGCACTCCAGCCTGGACAACACAGTGAGATCCCATCTTTCTTTCTTTATTTTTCTTTTTTTCTTTGAGATCGAGTTTCTCTTTTGTCCAGGCTGGAGTGCAGTGGTGCAATCTTAGCTCACTGCAATCTCCGCCTCCCTGGTTCAAGCAATTCTCCTGCCTCAGCCTTCCAAGTAGCTGGGATTACAGGCATGTGCCACCATGCCCGGCTAATTTTTGTATTTTTAGTAGAGATGGGGTTTCATCATGTTGGCCAGGCTGATCTCAAACTCTTGACCTCAGGTGATACGCCTGCCTCAGCCTCCCAAGTTGCTGGGATTACAGGTGTGAACTGCCATGCCTGCCGAGACCCCATCTTTCTATATAGAATAAATACAGCCAGGCACTGTGGCTCATGCTCTACTAAAAATATAAAAATTAGTTGGGCATGGTGGCGGGTGCCTGTAATCCCAGCTACTCGGGAGGCTGAGGCAGGAGAATCACTTGAACCCGGGAGGCAGAGGTTGCAGTGAGCCAAGACTGCACCATTGCACTGCAGCCTGGGTGACAGAGCAAGACTTTGTTTCCCCCACCAAAAAAATTAGCTGGGCTTGGTGACACATGCCTGTAATCCCAGCTGCTTGGGAAGCTGAGGCAGGAGAGTCGCTTAAACCAGGGAGGTGGAGGTTGCACTGAGCCAAGATCGGGCCACTGCCCTCCAGCCCGTATGGCAAGAGTGAAACGCTGTCTCATAAATAAATACACGCGTGTGCACACACACACACGGAGAGAGAATGGTCAGTGTAGGCCTCATTAAAGATATTGACATTAACCCAGGCATAGTGGCTCACACCTGTAATCTCAACACTTTGGAAGGTTGAAGCAGGAGGATCCTTTGAGCTCAGGAGTTTGAGACCAGTCTGGGCAACATAGGGTGATTCCATGTCTTCAAAACATTTAAAAATCAGCTGGTGGCAGCTGGGTGCGATGGCTCATGCCTGTAATCCCAGCACTTTGGGAGGCCAAGGCGGGCGATCACCTGAGGTCAAGAGTTCAAGACCAGCCTGGCCAACATGGTGAAACTCCATTCCTACAAATATACAAAAATTAGTCTTGCATGATGGCAGATGCCTGTAATCCCAGCTACTCATAGGCTAAAGTTGGAGAATCGTGTGAACCTGGGGGGTGGAGGTTGCAGTGAGCTGAGACCATGCCATTGTACTCTAGCCTAGGTGAGAAAGTGAGAGCTCCATCTCAAAAAAAAAAAGGAAGTAATGGAATGAAACTAATGTGGACTTTGGCATTGGCTGAGTGAAATGAGGAACCATTATTTTGATTTTAATCAGAGGAGGGACATGATTTGACTAATGTGTCAGAAGGATCACTGTGGTTGAATTGTTAAGACTAGACTGGGAGAGGACACAGGGACATAAGTAAGAGGATTCATTAAGAAGCTATTTCGGTAGCCCAGGAGAGAAATTATGGTGAGTTGGACTAGAATGGTAGCAGTAGAGGTAATGTGTGGTCAGATTCTGGATGTGTTTTGGAGGTAGAGCCAATAAAATGTGGGGTATGAAAGACAGGAATCAAAATATCTCCAAGGCTTTAAGCCTGAGCAGTTGGAAGATAGCATTGCCGTCAACCAAGATGGAGAAGAATATGGTTACGGGAGGAACAGTGTTCTTGGTTGGTACTACCACCAGTGTCTCAACCAGAAAATAGGAACACAATTAATTCTCTTCTCCTAGGCCCCTAGATCTAGTCACCAAGGTCTATTACCTTGACTCTATTTCATAAATTTTTCTGCCCATGCCTTCCAAGATCTGCATTTGATTCAAAGCAAGTCATCAGCTTGTATACGTTCTGATCATAATTTCCCACCGCTAGAAACCATGTGCTGTCCTGGCAAGGTGGCTCATACCTGTAATCTCAGCACTTTGGGAGGCCGAGGCAGGCAGATCCCCTAAGGTCGGGAGTTTGAGACCAGCCTGGCTAACATGGTGAAACCCTGTCTCTAACAAAAATACAAAAATTAGCCAGTGGTGGTGGCGGGCGCCTGTAATTCCAGGTATTCAGGAGGCTAAGGCAGGAGAATCGCTTGAACCTGGGAGGCAGAGGTTGCAGGGAGCCAAGGTCGCCCCACTCCACTCCATCCTGGCATAGAGCGAGACTCCGTCTCAAAAAACAAAACAAAACAGGAAACATGTGATGGCCCTCTAGTACTTATAGAATAAAGTCCAAGCTCCTTAGCACAGCGTTGAAGTCACCGGAAATGGCCTACCTACCTCTTCCCTGGCTCCATCTTCTGCCACCTTGCCTCTTAGATTTCACACACCAGAAACACCAAACCACTTAGGATTTCTGGACATATGCTTTAGATTTGCACTTTCTTGTATTTATGCACCTGCCTGCTTTATACGCACTATGCGGTTTTTTTTTGAGACAGAGTTTTGCTCTTGTTGCCCCGGCTGGAGTGCAATGGCACTATCTCAGCTCACTGCAACCTCCACCTTCCAGGTTCAAGTGATTCTCCTGCCTCTGCCTCCCAAGTAGCTGGGATTACAGGCATGCACCACCACTCCCAGTTATTATTTTTATTATTATTTTTTGTATTTTTAATAGAGACGGGGTTTCACCATGTTGGTCAGGCTAGTCTTGAACGCCTGACCTCAAGTGATCCATCCATGGTGGCCTTCCAAAGTGTGGGGATTACTGGCATGAGCCACCATGCCCAACCAATGTGTTCTTTAAAACTCTGCTCAGAGGTGGCAGAGGGGTAAGAAAAACAAAAGAAAAAACTCTGCTCAGATACCATCTCTTCTCTAAGCCATTTCACAACCTCAGCAGTTTATTCCCAAGCCACCTCTTTACTAGGAGCAGTCGTTCTCAAATATTTTAATTTTAGACCACTTTACCCTCTTTTGTGTTTTTGAGATGGAGTTTCTCTCTTGTTGCCCAGGCTGGAGTGCAATGGTGTAAGCTTGGCTCACTGCAACCTCCACCTCCCGGGTTCAAGTGATTCTCCTGCGTCAGCCTCCTGAGAAGCTGGGATCACAGGCATGCGCCATCGTGCCTGGCTGATTTTGTATTGTAAGTAGAGACAGGGTTTCTCCATGTTGGCCAGGCTGGTCTCGAAATCCCAACCTCAGGTGATCTGCCTGCCTCAGCTTCCCAAAGTGCTGGGATTACAGGTGGGAGCCACCTCCCCCAGCTTCCTTTACACTCTTAAACTATTAGGGATCTTAAAGAGTTTTTGTTTTTATAGGTATATCTGATGACATTTACCATATTAGAAATTAAAATTAAGAAATGTCCCGGGGCCGGATGCAGTGGCTCACCCCTATAATCCCAGCACTTTGGGAGGCCGAGGTGGGTGGATCACTAGGTCACGAGATCGAGACCATCCTGGTCAACAAGGTGAAACCCCGTCTCTACTAAAAATACAAAAATTAGCTGGGCATGGTGGTGTGCGTCTGTAGTCCCAGCTACTCGGGAGGCTGAGGCAGGAGAATTGCTTGAACCCAGGAGGCGGAAGTTGCGGTGAGCCCAGATCGCGCCATTGCACTCCAGCCTGGGTAACAAGAGTGAAACTCCGTCTCAAAAAAAAAAAAAAGAAATGTCCCGGGAGCGGGGGACCACCAGGTTGCCTAAGGAGGGGTGAACTGGCCCAGGTCGGAAACGAAGTAGGTCAAAACTCCGGTGCTTATCAGTAGTGGGATCGCACCTGTGAATAGCCACTGCACTCCAGCCTGACCCCATCACAAAAACAAAAAATATAAAAAAAAGAACGAAAGAGAAAAAAACAATAAAATTAAGAAATGAAGACTGGGCTCGGTGGCTCATGCCTGTAATCCTAGCATGCTGAGAGGCTGAGGAGGGCAGATCACGAGGTCAGGAGTTTGAGACCAGCCTGACCAACATGGTGAAACCCCGTCTCTACTAAAAATACAAAAATTAACCGGATATGGTTGCTGGCTTGTACCTGTAGTCCCAGCTACCTGGGAGGCTGAGGCAGGAGTATCGCTTAAGCCCAGGAGGCAGAGGTTGCAGTGAGCTGAGATCATACCACTGCACTCCAGCCTGGGCTACAGAGTGAGATTCTGTCTCAAAAAAAAAAAAAAAAAGTTTACACATTTATTACTTCATGTAAGATAACAATACATCAATTTTTTGCTAAAATAAATAACATTTTAGAATGAGGAAAAGGTCAGGTGTGGTGGCTCATGCCTGTAATCCGAGCAGAAGGATCACTTGTGCTCAGGAGTTTGAGAGCAGTCTGTGCAACAAAGTGAGACCCCGTTTCTACAAAATATTAAAAAATTAGCCAAGTGTGGTGTTGTGTGCCTGTGGTCCTAACTACACAGGAGGCTGAGGCAGGACGATCACTTGAGCCTGGGAGGTTGAGGCTGTAGTGAGCCACAATCGCACCACTGTACTCCAGCCTGGGCAACAGAGACCCTGTCTTAAAAATAAATAAATAAATGTAACTATATTTTTCTAAACAAAAATAATTTAGTTTGAAGGGTGGCTTTGCTTTACTTTTTTTTTTTAAATCCCTTTAATACCTGGCTTAATGAAAGAACTGGTTTTTCATGTTTTACACTAGTCTGTTGTGATTTCACAGATTTAATTTCTGGAAAGCTCCACTGTATTCTCATGAAAGAGCAAGAATAAGACAGAAAAATAATGTCTTAGTTTTAAAATAATTCTTTCCTCTGCACAGAAAGGGTCTCATTAATATTATCAAGGAAATAATCCTTCTGGCTTACAGGGTGTCTCCGGGTGCATGCCTGTAATCCCAGCACTTTGGGAGGCCGAAGCGGGTGGATCACCTGAGGTCAGGAGTTCAAGACCACCCTGACCACCATGGTGAAACCCCGTTTCTACTAAAAATGCAAAAATTAGCTGGGTGTGGTGTTGGGCACCTGTAATCCCAGCTACTTGGGAGGCTGAGGCAAGTCTCTCTCTTTTTTTTTAAAGATGGGGTTTCACCATCATGGCCAGGCTGGTCTTGAACCCCTGACCTCAGGTGATCCACCCACCTCAGCCTCCCAAAGTGCTAGGATTACAGGCGTGACCTCGCCCAGCTCTTTTTTTTTTTTTTTTTTTTTGAGACGGAGTTTAGCTCTTGCTACCCAGGCTGGAGTGCAATGGCGCAATCTCGGCTCACTGCAACCTCCGCCTCCTGGGTTCAGGCAATTCTCCTGCTTCAGCTTCCTGAGTAACAGGGATTACAGGCACGCGCCACCATGCCCAGCTAATTTTTTGTATTTTTAGTAGAGACGGGGTTTCACCATGTTGACCAGGATGGTCTCGATCTTTTGACCTTGTGATCCACCCGCTTCAGCCTCCCAAAGTGCTGGGATTATAGGCTTGAGCCACTGCGCCCGGCCTTTTTTTTTTTTTAAAGGCAATCTCTTGAACTCAGGAGGCAGAGGTTGCAGTGAGCTGAGATTACGCCATTGCATTCCAGCCTGGGTGTCAAAGCAAGACTATCTCAAAGAAAAAGAAATCCTTCCTTTCACACAGAAAGGACCATATGGACTCCCAGGGAGCCCCATTATCACACTTCCAACTACCAGGGATTCAGAAAACACTCCCCATGTTTCAGGTATCACACTCTTGCACAACTTTGAATTACACACTAGGAGGTGAGGTCTATGAAGGAGATGGGAAGTAATGTGTAGTTTATTATTTTCTCGGTGTCCACCACAAAGGGCTCAAATGACTTTTTCTTTGCCATCTTAAAACATTAGGTGTAAGGGGGCACCTGGATTTGAACCAGGGACCTCTTGATCTGAAGTCAAATGCTCTACCCCTGAGCTATACCCCCTCTACAAGACAAGCAAGATTACAGCATAAATGTAGTGTTTACTGACCAGACATTGCCTCCAGTGACTGACAATAGTTTACTATCTATGATAGAGTACCTCAAGTGATCTGGACCCAACTAAAGCCGTGGGAGAGAAAAGAGAAGTCTAAGTCGTCTCTGCCTCTGGCTTGAAGGTCTTGTACGGATGTGCAGTGGGATTCCTCTTTTCCATCACTACAGCCTTTTCTACCTCTGGCATCTGGGAATTCTTCAAGTCAGATTTTTTTTTTTTTTTTTTTTTTTTTTGAGAAGGAGTTTCACTCTTGTTACCCAGGCTGGAGTGCAATGGCACAATCTCGGCTCACCGCAACCTCCGCCTCCTGGGTTCAGGCAATTCTCCTGCCTCAGCCTCCCAAGCAGCTGGGACTGCAGGCGCGCGCCACCATGCCCAGCTAATTTTTGTATTTTTAGTAGAGACGGGGTTTCACCTTGTTGACCAGGATGGTCTCGATTTCCTGACCTTGTGATCCACCCGCCTCAGCCTCCCAAAGTGCTGGGATTATAGGGGTGAGCCACTGCGCCCGACCTCTTCAAGTCAGATTTTTATCCTCTCTGCCTGCAACCTGAGCTACATTGAATCCTCAGCCCAGTGCTTGGCACACAAGAGGAGGTACTTCCTTTGTCCTTCTAAGACCCTCTCTGCTTCCGGGCCAGCGAGTCTCCGTTGTCTCCATTTTCTCCAGCATCTTCAATCACTTCCTCTTCCCACGGCTCCTTCAAACATCAACAAGTTTCCATTAGATAGGAAAAGGTTTTTTTTTTTTTTTGAGACAGAGTTTCATTCTTTTTTTTTTTTTTTTTTTTTGAGACAGAATTTTTTGCTCTTGGTGCCCAGGCTGGAGTGCAATGGCACGATCTTGGCTCACTGCAACCTCCACCTCCCGGTTCAAGCAATTCTCCTGCCTCAGCCTCCCGAGTAGCTGGGATTACAGGAATGCGCCACCAAACCCCGCTAATTTTGTAGTTTGTTTTTTTTTGAGACGGAGTTTCGCTGTTGTTACCCAGACTGGAGTGCAATGGCACGATCTCGGCTCACCGCAACCTCCACCTTCTGGGTTCAAGCAATTCTCCTGCCTCAGCCTCCTGAGTAGCTGGGACTACAGGCGTGCACCACCATGCCCAGCTAATTTTTGTATTTTTAGTAGAGACTGGGTTTCACCCTGTTGACCAGGATGGTCTCGATTTCTTGACCTCGTGATCCACCTGCCTCGGCCTCCCAAAGTGCTGGGATTATAGGCGTGAATTTTTGTAGTTTTAGCAGAGACGGGCGTTTCACCGTGTTGTTCAGGCTGGTCTCGAACTTCGACGTCAGGTGATCGCCTCCCTCAGCCTCCCAAAGCGCTGGGATCACAACCATGTAATTACACTGCGCCTGGCCTGGAGTTTCATTCTTGTTGCCCAAGCTGGAGTGCAATGGTGAGATCTCGGCTCACTTCACAAACTTCGCCTACCAGGTTCAAGCGATTCTCCTGCCTCAGGCTCCCGAGTAGGTAGGATTACAGGCCCATGCCTGTGATCCTAATTAGCCCGTGCACGGCTAATTTTTTGTATTTTTAGTAGAAACAGGGTTTCACCATCTTAGTCAAACTGGTCTCGAACTTGTGACCTCAGGTGTTCTGTGTCAGGCGTGTCACACGCGTAAAGAGACCACCAGGCAGGTTTTATGTGGGCAAGGAGGCATTTATTTATTTAATGGCTGCTTGGAGTTTATTTTCTGCTTGGTGCAAGTGCACAGTTCCAGGTGTCAGGAAAACTCCTAAGTGCTGAGGCTGGGCCAGGCTGTAGAGAGCAGGGCCCTCACTCCTTTTTGGTGTCTGCTGTGTTGATGTGGAGCTGCCGGCTACAGCTGCCTAGTCTACAGGGAGCGTGGTGGGGAGGGGGACAGGAGGGGTTCTAGTGGCCTAGCGCCTTGGCAGGCCTGGGGCTGGTGGTAACCGTTCAGGTCAGGACAAGGGCCCAGAGCTGGCTGTGCTGGACTGACCACCGGGCTGCTTCCTTGGGGCGTTGTGAGCCAGGCCACAGGTGGTCATGTTGCTGGAGGCCTTGGGGGGTTCCGGGTGCTCTGCAGACTCCAGCACTGTAGCCATGAACGGGAGGGTGGACTTCCTGTGAAAGAAGCTGGCCCACCAGTGACCTGGGTCAGCCTTGGGGATACCCGGGGGGTGGGGAATGGCTTCTGCGGGGCACTGGGTACTGGAAGTGGAACCCAGGCAGCACCGGTAGTAGTCGTGGATGGCCACAAGCGAGCCGCTGGAGGGGATGGAGGCCATGCTCTGAATGCAGGCTTGTGGGACCTGGGTGGTGACCCCTCTGGGCCTTGGCTCACAATCACCGTTGGTAGGGATGGGGCAGTAGGCCACGGAACCCATTTGCAGAGGAGACTGCAGGAGGCCACTCCTCGACCCAGACATTCGCACGGGGTGAGGCTGTTTTATTTTGCGCTTGGTTGCAAGTGCACCAAGTTGGGAAAAGGCGTTAGGTGAGGGCAGTAGGAAAGGGGACTGGTTATATAGGTTGGGGCAAATGGTCAGATAAAGGTGGTAATCTATTTTAGGGACGAGAAGAGCATCATGGGATGCATGGTCACAAGTGTAGGTGTTATCTATTCCAAACAGGCATGATCATAAGGGTAGTGGTTATCAGTTGCAAACAGAGGGGAGGGTGAGGTAAATTACACAGTTACAGGGATGGGGGTCTTGAGAAACCTAATGTCTGGGGGAAATCTCGCAAGGTTGAGCAGGAACAATGAAGGCTGCAGGGGGAGATCAATCAGTTGAGGCAGGAACCAGTCATTTCACTTCTCTTTGTGGCCATCTAGTTACTCCAGACTTTCTGCCTCCTGGAGACCATCCAGCAGAGTACCTTCAGGTTACCAGAGCTATAATGGCCAGGCTTGAACTTGGAGGTCTGACATTCTGCCTGCCTCAGCCTCCCAAAGTGCCGGGATTACAGGCATGAGCCACCACACCCGGCCAAGACTGCATTTTTTGAGGGTGGCGATCATGTTGCATTCTTTTTTTGCAATCCCCAAAGTAGTCCGTACAGTGCCTGGTTCATGGTAAGCCCTGGTTGTACTCACCAGCCAAACTACAACCTCATTAAACTCAGCCATGGGACTCCACCAACTCTGCACCCAAGCAGCTGAATGTTGCTGAAGAAAAAAGGTGGACAGCACCATTACATTGTGTCACTCCACCAATGTAAAACAAGCTTTCTGTCTAATATGCCTACACCACTGCCCAAATACGACCACTTTCTCATGCTCCAAGATAACTATTTCACATGCTCAAAGCTTCCACACCTTCTTTCTCCTTCTCTTGCTCTCAGATGAAGAGCCTGCCTCTTCCTTTTTGGAGAAAACAGAATCAGTCAGATGTAGTGGGGTGCTGGGTAATGGCTAGCCACTGGCTCTGGGGGACCTGATGTGTACCTTTTGTCAAGGCGGGTGTTGCAAATACACCCACATGACGATTTTGGGATACTAAAAGGAAGTCCTCTAACTTTAAAAATTTCTGAGGCCGGGCACAGTGGCTCCTACTTGTAATCCCAGCACTTTGGGAGGCTGAGGTGGGTGGATCACCTGAGGTCAGGAGTTCGAGACCAGCCTGACCAACATGGAGAAACCCCATCTCTACTAAAAATACCAAATTAGCTGGGCATGGTAGCACATGCCTGTAATCCCAGCTACTCAGGAGGCTGAGGCAGGAATTGCTTGAACCTGGGAGGCGGAGGTTGTGGTAAGCTGAGATTGTGTCATTGCACTCCAGACTGGGCGACAAGAGTGAAACTCCATCTCAAAAAAAAAAAAAAAAAAATTCTGGAAAATTTAACCATTGGTTCTTGCAAGCCAGTGTGAACTGAATCCAGCACATGTCTGAGATTAACTATATCTTTCATCAATTATTATCTATACACTGAGAACGCCCAGAATTATATTTCTAGCCTTGACCTCTTCCCTGAACTCCAGAATTAGCTGGATCCTCAGTCATATATTCAACATCTCTTAAATATCAAAAAGTACCTTAAATGTGCTGGGCGTCACACCTCTTTGGGAGGCCTAGGCAGGTGGATCATGAGGTTAGGAGTTAAGACCAGCCTGACCAACATGGTGAAAACCCATCTCTACTAAAAATACAAAAATTAGCTGGGCATGGTAGCACATGCCTGTAATCCCAACTACTAGGGAGTCTGAGGCAGGAGAATTGCTTGAACCTGGGAGGTGAAGGTTGGAGTGAGCTGAGATTGCACCACTGCATTCCAGCCTGGCCGACAGAGCGAGACTCCATCTCAAAAAAAAAAAGTACCTGGCCGGGCGCGGTGGCTCATGCCTATAATCCCAGCACTTTGAGAGGCCGAGACAGGTGGATCACGAGGTCAAGAGATCGTGACCATCCTGGTCAACATGGTGAAACCCCCGTCTCTACTAAAAATACAAAAATTAGCTGGGCATAGTGGTGCGCGCCTGTAGTCCCAGCTACTCGGGAGGCTGAGGCAGGAGAATTGCCTGAACCCAGAAGGTGGAGGTTGCGGTGAGCCGAGATCGTGCCATTGCACTCCAGTCTGGGTAACAACAGCGAAACTCCGTCTCAAAAAAAAAAAAAAGTACCTTAAATTTGCTGGTTTCTCTTCAGATTGTATCGTGGGGAGGAACAAATCAGCTTTTAAAGTGATTTTTAAAAGCCTTGCTTTAGGTAAGGCAGATAAAAAAAAAGTACCTTAAATGTAACATGTTCACCCCAATACTAGAATGTGATGTCCACTTTATTACTTTAAGAGTCTTAAAAAGAAACTAGAGGCCAGGCGCGGTGGCTGACGCCTGTAATCCCAGCACTTTGGGAGGCTGAGGCGGGTGGATCACGAGGTCAAAAGATTGAGATCATCCTGGTCAACATGGTGAAACCCTGTCTTTTTTTGTATTTTTTTGTACTAAAAATACAAAAAAAATTAGCTGGGCATGGTGGCGCGTGCCTGTAATCCCAGCTACTCGGGAGGCTGAGGCAGGAGAATTGCCTAAACCCAGGAGGCGGAGGTTGCAGTAAACCGAGATCGCGCCATTGCACTCCAGCCTGGGTAACAAGAGCGAAACTCCGTCTCAAAAAAAAAAAAAACCTAGATTTTTTTTCCTCCTAAAAAAAATTCTTAGTGGAATTTTTCTTTTTTCTTTCTTTCTTTTTCCCCAGAGATGGAGTTTTGCTCTTGTTGCCCAGGCTGGAGTGCAGTGGCACAGTCTTGGCTCACTGCCACCTCTGCCTCTTGGGTTCAAGAAATTTTCCTGCTTCAGCCTCCTGAGTAGCTGGGATTGATTACAGGCACTTGCTACCATGCCAGGCTTTTTTTTTTTTTTTTTTTTTTTTTTCTGAGACGGAGTCTTGCTCTTGTTACCCAGCTGGAGTGCAATGGTTCGATCTCGGCTCACTGCAACCTCCGCCTCCTGGGTTCAAGCAATTCTGCTATCTCAGCCTCCTGAGTAGCTGGGACTACAGGCTGCGCCACCATGCCCAGCTAATTTTTGTATATTTAGTAGAGACGGGGTTTCACCTTGTTAACCAGGATGGTCTAGATCTCTTGACCTCGTGATCCACCTGCTTCGGCCTCCCAAAGTGCTGGAATTATAGGCGTGAGCCACCGCGCCCGGCCCTTTTTTTTCTTTTTTTTTTTTTAGACAGAGTCTCTCTCTGTCACCCAGGCTGGAATGCAGTGGCATGATCTCGGCTTACTGCAACCTCTGCCTCCGGGGTTCAAGCAAGTCTCCTGCCTCAGCTTCTTAAGTAGCTGGGATAATAGGCGCGCGCCACCATGCCTGGCTAATTAATTTTTGTATTTTTAGTAGAGATGGGGTTTCACCATGTTGGCCCTGCTAGTCTCAAACTCCTGACTTCAGGTGATCCACCCACCTGGGCCTCCCAAAGTGCTGGAATTACAGGCGTGAGCCACCCCTCCCAGCCTTTTCTTTCTTTACTTTGTAGAGATAGGGTTTTGCCATGTTGTCCAGGCTGGTCTCAAACTTCTTGGCTTCCCAAATGCTGGGATTTCAGGCCCGAAGCAGCCAGGCAGGGGAAAAAAAAAAAAAATCTATCAGGTGGGGCGCAGTGGCTCACGCCACTGATGGAATTACAGGCTGCCTGCATTCTTCTCTAGCTCTGCTGTTCCTGCTTGTAATAGAAAAAATAATGACCCTCCAAACATGTCTACATCCCAGTCTTCTTGTGAGTCCACGTGTGACTATATTTCCTCTCATGATAAAAGGAGCTTTGCAGATATGATTAAATTAAATATCTTGAGATGTGAGAAGATTATCCTGGACTATCCAGGTGAGCTCAGTGTAATCCCACAGGTTGTTACAAGAGGGAGGTAGAAGGATGAGAGTCACAGAGAAAGGAGATGGTAGCCTGGATGCATGGAAGCTGAGAGTAAAGGGAGAAAGGATGATACGCTGCTGACTTTGACAATTGGGGAAGAGGCTATGAGTTAGCAATGTAGCGGCCTCTATAGGCTGGAAAAGTCAAGGAAAGTGATTCTCCCCTAAAGCCTACAGAAGGAATGCAGTCATACTAACGTCTTGATTTTAGCCCAGTGAAATTAATTTTGACCTCCAGAACTGTGAAGATAATACATTTATATTGTTTTATGCAAATAGACTGTAATTTGTTAGAGCAGCAATATAAAACTAATACAACACTGTAGTCTAAGACATCACCACCTTCTCTGACCTGTATTATTACAATATATTCCCATCTGGCTTCTCTCTCTCTCTCAATCTCTCTTTTTTCTTGAGATAGAGCCTTGCGGCTGGGTGCGGTGGCTCACGCCTGTAATCCTAACACTTTGGGAGGCTGAGGTGGGTGGATCACCAGAGGTCAGGAGTTCAAGACCAGGCTGGCCATCATGGTGAAACCCCATCTTTGAAAAAAAAAGAAAGCCGGGCGCGGTGGCTCACGCCTATAATCCCAGCACTTTGGGAGGCCGAGGTGGGTGGAACACGAGGTCAAGAGATCCAGACCATCCTGGTCAACAAGGTGAAACCCCGTCTTTACTAAAAATACAAAAATTAGCTGGGCATGGTGGTACGCACCTGTAGTCCCAGCTACTCGGGAGACTGAAGCAGGAGAATTGCTTGAACCCAGAAGGTGGAGGTTGCGGTGAGCCGAGATCGTGCCATTGTACTCCAGTCTGGGTAACAACAGCGAAACTCCGTCTCAAAAAAAGAAAAAGAGAGCCTTGCTCTGTCACCCAGGCTCACTGCAGCCTCCACCTCTGGGGCACAAGCAATCCTCCTGTCTCAGCCTCCGAAGTAGCTGGGATTTCAGGCACACACCATCACACCTGGCTAATTTTTAAATTTTTTGTAGAGATGGGAGTCTCACTATGATGCCCAGACTGGTTTCAACTCCTGGGCTCAAGTGATCCTCTTGCCCTGGCCTCCCAAAGCGCTGGGATTACAAGCATGAACCACTATGCTTGGCGGACACTCTTAGATTTTCTTTCTTTTTTTTTTTTAAAAAAATGAGGTTTCACCATGTTGGCCAGGCTGGTCTCGAACTCCTGACCTCAAGTGATCCACCCACCTCGGCCTCCCAAAGTGCTGAGATTACAGGTGTGAGCCACCACACCTGGCCTGGATTTTCAACTATACAATACAGTGTTGTTAAGTAAAGGCACAATGTTGTACAGACGATTTCTAGCATTTTAGACTTGTTGATCAGCAGCTCCCCCCAGCCCCTGGCAATTGCCATTCTGCTCTGCTTCTGTGAGTTTGACTGTGTTAGATAGCTCGTATAAGGGGAATTATGCAGTATTTGGCCTTCTGTGACTAGCCTGTTTCACTTAGCATAATATCCTTAAGGTTCATCCACGCGGTTGCATATTGCAGGATTTCTTTCTTTTTCTTTCTTTCTCTCTCTTTCTTTCTTTCTTTCTTTCTTTCTTTCTTTCTTTCTTTCTCTCTCTCTCTCTCTCTGTCTTTCTTTCTTTCTTTTTTTTTTTTGAGACGGAGTTTCGCTCTTGCTACCCAGGCTGGAGCGCAATGGTGCGATCTCGGCTCACTGCAACCTCCGCCTCCTGGGTTAAGGCAATTCTCCTGCCTCAGCCTCCTGAGTAGCTGGGATTACAGGCACGCGCCACCATGCCCAGCTAATTTTTGTATTTTTAGTAGAGACGGGGTTTCACCATATTGACCAGGATG